TTAAAGAATCACAGGAGGGAACAAAATCTACAAGGCTGGCTCTGTTAGTTTACCCTCAGGGAGTGGGCCCAGGTTCTGAGGGGACAATGCTTGAAATTCAGCCTGCAGGGTAGAAGCCTGAAGGAGTTGTTGATATTGCCAGGGCTGTGCTGGATTTCAGGAAGCAAGGTACGCCACTTTCTAAATCAACGCTGGAAACAAGAACTCCATGTTCAGATGCATTTACAGGGATGCCACCAGGGTGAAGGGCAGCCCAATTCCACCAGTGCATGCTTTTGCTGCGCTACTGGTTCACACATGTGACACTCGTGACATCTGTGGGCTGAATGGCTTCTGGTACAGAGGGCTGTCACATACGCTGGTACATTACGAGCATCCTATCCCCAATCAACTAGAAACCAGTAGCATACACTGCCAACAACAGTGATGATGGCCAAACTGTCCAGAGACAATGACGGATGTACTCTGGCAGGGGTCATAGGGAGTGGGGATGGGTCCATTCTACCAACCTCAGCATAATCTTCAACACTGGCAGAAACAAAGGTACTCCAATAGTCTTTAAAAATAACTCCTTTTAGTCATTACATTACTAAACAATGCTCTCCCTCATTCTGGAATTTCCTCAGAAACTACACACTAGGAGAAGGAAAAGGCTGCAAACCCCGGACAGGGAGTCTATTTCCCAAAAACAAGATTTCTCAGTACCTATATGTGTATGTGCCTGCAGATATACAGACGCACATGTAGAGGCCAGACAACCAAAGGTGTCACTGCTCAGGAACTAATCACCTTGTTTTATGACACAGGGTCTCTCACTGGCTTGGAACTTACCAGTTACTGTCAACTGGCTAGACAAGATCGCCAGGGATTTACCAGATTCTGCCTTCCCTAGCACTGACGTTCCAAGCGCAGGCCACGGTGAAACCTGGCCTTTTCACTTGGGTCCTAGGTGTCGAACTCAGGTCTCAAGCACTATACAACTGAGCCATTTCTATGACACCTCCCTGAAAGGCATTTCCACAGTTGCTTCGAAAGAGAAACTGGAGCCAGACTACAGTGGCGAGGGGTAGGGCCACGCCTGAACCAAGACAGCTGCTTCAGGAGTAGCACTTTGTTGCCTGACTTAAACACAGACCTCGTATCAGAACACTGATAATAGACTTGACCATTGAAAGGGCCTCTCTGTTCTCCTTCCCAGTCTGCGACAGTGAGTAAAATTGGCTGAACTGGCCATTTGAGGACTTACTAGGGCTGCCAGGACCCAAGCTCTGACCTAATTCCAGTAACATTTTGTCGCCTGATACATGCATGGCACACACAAAAATGATACCCCAGTTGTAGATCAAATTTTCCACAATACTGGAAACTTTACTTGGTCCCAAGGAAAGCTTGAACAAATGGCTAACAGGGGTGCCTATTAACATATCAAAGCAGACACTGGCTACCTCCCCCAAATCATTCAGTACCTATATCTCCACCCTGCACTTCTCACCCCTCCCCGGTTTTGCTGGGGTTCTGTCTCCCACCCATATACAACTCAGCTACTTGGCTTGGTGTCTTCTCGATCCACATGTTTATTTGGTCTCTTTTTCCCCTGGTCTCGAGGCTCAGGCCTTGGCTCCTCGTCCCCCTCCAGTCCTCTTTCCTTCCTCCCTTTCTCTATTTCTCTCTCACTCCCAAGGTCTGCTGGCCATGTTCAGACAGGACTCTTCCAGATGCCCCTGGCTGTTTACACACTCAAGTCTACAATAAACGTTCTTCGGGCTGGAGAGATGGCTCAGAGGTTAGGAGCACTGCCTGTTCTTCCGAAGGTCCCGAGTTCAATTCCCAGCAACCACATGGTGGCTCACAACCATCTGTAATGAGATCTGGTGCAGAATACAGTATATATAATAAATAAATCTTTAAAAAAAAAAACGTTCTTCTCACTCTATCCCCAGGAACAGACACATCCGCATTTTCCCACTCAGAACGGAAGGAAGTGAGCCAACTCTGGTGCCCCAGCAGCACGGAAACACCAGGAAGAGCGAGTGTCAGCAATGAGCATGAGGAAGGCAAGCTATCACCAAATTTATAGACATACATGAGACAGAAGTGAGCAACTTTCCGTGCACATTTTACACTTAAACTGGATCCAACTGCCTTTAATCCCTGCAATTTAAGTACCTCCAAATATACCACTAAGAACATCAACGTGTTATCACAATTTATGAAATCAAGCTATGAGCCAGTTGGGCATGAGGAACCCTATTAATACAGGCAGGCTTATGACCTGATGTCACTCAAAAGTGAAGGACCCAAGTCACTTGAGCACACAGTAGGTCTGGGCATCAGAAGTACCATAGCTTATATTCCTTCAGCAATTGATGGCACTCTTGAAGCAATGGGAAAGACCAATGGTTTTCAAAATTCATAAGGCCTCCAAAGAAAATGTAGGTCTGTGCTGCACACTGATCTAGAACCAAGTGTGGGCAGGAGGCACTGTACTGGCACTAGAGGGTGTGACTGCAGAGGAGGCACACGAGTCCCCCCCCCCCCTTCCTGCTCCACAGACATGCTTTCCCAAGCCAGATTAAGTTTTTAAACTTTCCAAGCATGAGCCAATGAGCCATGAGCCAATTGAATGGCTACCCAATTTAGGGACAAAGAGGCTTCAGAGCAAAGCTGGCAGGACACAAATCACCTTCTCAACTCCTAGTGCCCATGGGAAGCGGTCGGAGGACACGGGGCATGGGGAATGGTGGACCAGAAGGGAAAGCCCATACTTGCAAACACCATGTTAAGTTTGATTCTAGGAAGCAAGTTTGCCATGTATTTAAAAAAAAAAAAAAAAACTAGTACTTCTAAGACTCTAAGAGATGAATCATCCCATACACAGGGCAGGAGGTCCATTAAGTCAAAACCGTACTCAGAATCGCATAGTTCACATGACCAGGAGAGGAAGTCCCACAGACAAAAAGGCACACAGGGCAGAGGTGGGTGCCACACATTAAACAAACGAGAGAAAACACAAAGCATCTTCTCAGAGTGGCTATCTCTGTTGTCTCCAGGGGAGTCTATGAGTCAGGGCAGGTGACATGGTGATACACGTGAGTGTATACATGGATATGTACATACATGCATCCATCCAAGTTCTTGGCTTCTGATCTTTCAAGAAACCAAAGAATGCTTCTCTAGAGAAAAGAAATGAGAATCCCCCTACAAGGCCAGTCTAAAATCTCCATTCTGCCTGACACTGTGTCATGGAACTGCCCTTATGGAAACTGTTCCCTTGTCTGATAGGATAACTAACCCTCACACCAGGAGAATCTGGTCTCTCTCCATGCACAAAAATGGTACAGGCAGCCCAAGAAGAATGTGGAGAAACAGGTCTAGCTAGGCTGTCCTGCTTAAGCCGCTGGCACTAGCGCAGACGTTTCTGTACATGCTTCTATGGTGTTCTTCACACTTTCACGAAATCTGAAAACGACTGTTCACAGGCATGGGACTAGGGGATCTCTGGAAAATGGGAAAGGAACAGACACACAGGAAGGTTGAATAAGAACTCGTTCATGGTGACGTCAGAAGCTCCCATGTCCAGGATCATACCAGACCCAATCTATATTTTTTTTCTCTAACAGATTGCTCTAGAACCCTTAAAATACCACTTGCAACAAACTAGTGAAATGTAATTGTTTCCTTAAATTCAATGAGCTATTCTAGAAAATTAACTTGTGACTGAAGTAAGGGTTGCCTTGTAGGAACGAGGCTTTCTGTAGGCTCTGCAAAATCCCCACGCAGAGGGAAAGGAACAGACGCCAAGAGCAGCCAGCAGAACTGTTCGCACACCGTTGGGGTGGAAGCTTCGCACATTCTGGGATCGAAAGTGGTCTGCGTTGTGAGAATACAGTAAGAAAAGCTGGCGTTGAACGCACTGTCCCATTTACCCTCAAAAGCATCTCCACGGAGGAGATATCCATGCCTTTCCCGATGTGCACACAAGGGTCAAGTCTTCTCAGAAGGTTAATAAACAGGCTTGGGGAGCTACGTAATAAACCTAACACTTTATAAGTCACACACATACATGTGAAATACATGTGTTTTCATTGTGAAGAGGGTCTCAAGTATTTATCAGGCTATCAAACGAGACGCAAACTGAGAAACATTGAGAGCTGAAAATAATACTCCGCCATCTGGTTCCTAGGATGAAAACATCCCAGCATTCCACAGTGACTCCCTGTGTTGTATAACCAAACACCACCACATCTAGTGAGATCTGCCACAAACCTGTCAGGCTTAGCACATGGGAAACAAGCTAATCAGCACAGGTTACCCTAACAGAATAAAATTCAAACACATGAAGAAAGAAAGAAAAAAGAACCTGCAACACATGTGATGTACCAGGTGACATTGATAAAGAGATTGGTTATAATAGGACTTCTTTTTCAACTCTATACACCTGAACCATGGCCTTCTGGTCACTACCCGGGATCTACGAAAAGATGGACTCAAAATGACTGCAGAATGAAGCAGTGTCACCATGGGACCTAACAAAAGATGGCAGAGGTTCATGCCGTCAATGGTCACATCCTCTGTCCCAACAGCTGGCAGAGACCAAAACAAAACAAACCCTTCAAGGAAGTTCACAACTCAGAGAGGCTTCTGAGAGTCCTTTTCATGTCACCAGCCTTGCCATTGTCTAAAAAGTGACAGCAAAGTCTCTGCGTCACAGAAAATGTCACCTTCAGAAAAGAGAGCTTGAGAAATGGATAGAGAAGAGAAACTGTCAAAAGGGGAAAAAATGGCAGACATCACTGAGCAGGCTAAAGTTACTGTGTCCATGGACTCTTTATAGCTCTCCTCTAGAGCAAAGCCAAGTCTTGTGGGGAGCCCTTTGCCATACTCTAGATACAGGGTTTCCTGAGAAAGGAAAGCAGGGTATGTTCATTTAGCCCGCAGAATGACCAAAGTAAGGACACAGCAGCCAACAGTGGGAATCCTGGGGTTCCCAGGTCTCTTACCTCCACAGGAAACCTCCGGCCGTTGACACTGTGCTCTGAGCCAGCGGAGCCATTGCTGTGGCCCCAGTGAAACTCCACCTTCTCAGCTTTGAATCTGCCAGGCAGACCAGCGCCACTCACGAAATAATCATCTTTCAGAAGGATGGCAACTGTCAAATGGGAAGCGAGAGAGAAGAAAAAGAAAGTGAGTTTCAAACCATCGGATGTTCTACTGCTTCGGTCAAGTTCACGTCTTACCGTGGTGTGAATGACTTCCCCATACACCTATAAGGCGATTCAAAATCACCAGCTTGAGTAAAGGAAGGCATTGCGGCTACGGAGTGCTCCTGAACCACCACCAACTAGTTCTTGTGTGATGCTCTCTTTAAGCATTAACAGCCATCGATCACTTTCATCAGAAGAGCTGTGGGGATTGGGTTTGCTGGCCATGGGTTCCCTTACAGAAGAAGAACCATCACTGGACCTGTTCCTATGAACCCAGTCAATCCCTTATGAGCCTAGCTAACTATATGTCATTCTGCCCTATTGACACATGGCTCCCTGTTTTCAGGGGTGCTGAAGCATAGTAAATGGAAGATTAGCTAAAGTGGGAACTATACGTATGCATGGCTACGGGAAGGTCAGCATCCATACTTTTGGGGGTCACCCACATCCCTCCAAGTGGTCCATCTTTCATGCTTTGATAATACACCAATTGCCCAATTTGGACTCTAGTCCAAATTGTATTCTAATTTGCCACTGATGTCCTTGAAAGAGGGGGACAGAAATCTGCTTGCCTCTATCTTCCTGGGCAAAGGGCTAATTCAACAGTTCTCAGTGGTGGCAGTTCCCAGGGAGAGGAGGCAGAATCTCTTCTCCATTTGACAGAGAGGGGAAAATCGAGATGCTTCTAGAAAGCAAGACACACCTAAAGCACTGACTCCTGAGGTTCAAGGTCTAAAATCAAATAAGAAACGTAAGATATGCCACTTGTGACCTGCATGCTCCTTTGACAAAAAAAAAAAAAAAAAAAAAAGAACAAGCCTCAGGCAGGAGAGCATGAAAAAGATTTTTGGAGGCTGGTCCCATAGTATAGCAGAAACAGTGGGCGGACAGTCAGAGCTGTGGATGGCGGTCTTTAGGTTACACACCAGCCCAACAAGGCATTAGTATTTCACTAAAATCCTGGCCCCTAATTCTATTTCCTGTACTGCCTCCCTTTACCTCGAAGCATAAGGAAATGACGTTCAGTTGATAACAACAAACAACATCCACAACATAAAAGCCTCGACCAATGAAAATCCTAAATATTAAAAATACAGTTTTCTTTCTCAAACCCCAGCAACAAGAACTCGAGGATCATATGGATTCTATTCCCATAAACTTTAGTTTTTCCCAAGGGAATAAGATTATTTAAAAGTATACAAAAGTATTTCAGTTTTACGACTGTTATATTCTCACTCCCATCCCCCACTTCCCTAAAGCTGATTCATTCATTCATGTAACAACTTCTTATTGGCTGCTAAATACATGGCAGCTGCCAAGAGATACACTGACTGGCTTAGGATCAAAAGGCGAGCCTGTGGAAGCCATGGGAAGGCACTCGGGTTCTCATTGTCTCTTCTTCCGAAAGCGATCCCAGTTAGCGCCTCACGCAGGAATCCTGCATGAAAATTAGGTCCACATAAAAGATAGGGATGAGACTAATGACCCATTTCTGAAACAGGGCAATTAGTTTCGGTGCTTTGCTATGGAAAGGAAGCATTAAAAGCCAAGAGAAGGAGCCCCGATCACATAAATCCCCCTATTATTGCTTTCAAAAGGCACTTGTTCACCAACTTTTGAGAAATACACAGTAAATGTTCAATTAGCGGGACAATGCATTAAAGAATAAAATGAAGTTTAAAAGCAAGCATTGCTTGTGCCAATTAAACAAACGATGGCATTGTTCCAGCATCGCCCTGCTGGGGGTGTGCCTGAGAATAGAGGTCGGCACACTTTTCCCTTTAATGGCCATCAGTAAATATTTTAGGCTTTGCAGAGCAGTGAGTCGCTGGTGGAAACTTGGTGGAAGTTTACAGGGACCATATGGGAATGAACAAACGCAACTATATTGCACAAACATGCTATTTAATCTCACTGAAATGTGAACGTAATGTAATTGATATCTATCACAAGGTATTCTCCTTTAGAGTGTGTGTGTATGTGTGTGTTTCCTGTGAGCATATGTGTACATGGGTATACACATGCATGAGTATAAAAGACAGAGGTCCAAGTTGGATGCTGTCCTCGATAGCTCTTTTCATTTGATGGGATAGACCCTCTCACTGAACCTGGAGCTCACTGATTGGCTAGGCTAGAAGGCCAGTGAGCCCTGACTCCTCTTGTCTCTGTCTCCCAGCATTGAGACTGAAAGAAGGCACCATCTCACTTGGGTTTTATATAGGTGCTGGCATCCAAAATCGAATTCCCATACTTATGAGGCAAACATGTAGACCCAAGACATTTCTCTAGCTCCTGTTTGCTTTATCTACTTAAAGAACATTAAAAGGGGCATATGTCCTGTCACAAAGTGGAAAAATATTATCAAAATTATTATGAAGCTGTGTTGTAGGAACTTAGTAGGATCACTGTATCTGGGGAAAACACTAGAGTGATTGGCTGATTTCTAGAAGGACTCTGACCTTGAAGAATCGCTGCAGGAAAGAGGGAAGAATCTCTGAAGGAAACACTGACTGCTTTCTGTTGTAGAACTGTTTTCCTGAAGGGGTTTGCAGCCTTCCATGACTTTGGGCACAAGATGCCTCTGGCACACCTGAGGATCTTGGATCATTGTGTATTGCAAACGATACATAATAAAGGACCAGAGTCATGAGGGCCTGTGATGCGTTTCTTTAGAAATCATATGGATAAGATAGGGCCTTGGTAGGAAGAATTACATTACCCCAAAAGCAACTTGGTGTAACAATCAATAAAAACACCTTTGTACGACTGTTTTGGGTTAAGTCTTTCAGACAGGCTTGACCTTACTCCTCCTACCACATGGGCCTTAAATTTCATCTTGGAGTTCCTTCTTGCTTCAACGAATCCACGCTACCCAGAACACCCCTACAAAGTGGAGCGCATTGTTTTATGGGGATTCATTGATGGGTACAGAGCTATTATAGAACGCCCCCTAATGTGTTCTACATCTCCATATATCTTTCAGGCCGGTACCAGAACACACAGGCCTGTGGCTGGCAGGGTCTTAAATAGTGCGGGTTACTCTCGGCCTTCTATGAATTCCACAGACACGCTTTCAAGTTCAGATGGACGGAAGCAGAGATTTGAGTGTTGTCTTTTAGGACACACCCAGGGACTCAGCATCATCTCATGAATATTTGATTCTGCCTAAATCATTTATGTCCTCTGTCAGGGGTCATTTTACTTGTTTTACATGAATAATTAAAGGTATAATTAGGGAACTATGTATCTGAAACATTAATCTCCGTTTTCATTTTATGGAATTTCTCGCCAGACACACAGCATGCCCGGGCATATACAGCCCTCCAAAACCAGCTTACGTTTTGTTTACATTTCATTAGACGAAGAAGAGAGAACTCCCCACTTACATTGTGACAGCTTTTTTCCTAAGGGCCGATGATCAATGGCAACACTATTTTGAAATAGGGATAAAATGATAGTTTCACATAAAGTCTTTTGGCAGAGAAGTAGGACCCCAAGAAGTTTCTAAATTCTCTGTGCCTCAGTTTCCCTCACTGTTCACAAGGGTATATAGTAACAGTACCAACCTGGTGAGGCCGAAGGGTACCACTTTCCCAAAGCACCGTGGACACTGCCAGGAACCCTGCATGTAGTGGCTAAGGGAAAGCTGTGGACACCTAAGTGTGATGCTAAATGTTCCCAAAGAGCTTGATTTGGGCTTCAAAGTGGCTCAGTGATAGAGCCCTGGCTAGCATGCTCAAGCCAAGGGTTCAATAGCCAGCTAAACACACAAGACAGAACTCAGACCTAAAGCTAAGCAGGCCTACATCAGTCCTGGGAGGTGAGCTGAAAGACCGAACTGTTCCTTTTCATTCATTTCAACACAGGCGGAAACAAAACACTTTCTCTTACAAATGATTTCAATTTTTCCTTTTTCTTTGAAAAGAAAATCTGTTACTGCTTCACCTCACTCTTTGTTTCAAGAATATATTAAACTAGAACTTAATAACACAGGAACCTTTGATTTATTTTCATGGATTATTGACTTAATTTAAACAGAGATTCTGTTTTGAACCTCTGGGTTTTCCATTTATGAATTGGATACAAAGTTTTCTTTGGAAAAAAATCACCTTATTTAATGAAAATAAAATTATCAAAGTTAAAGAAAAAGACGAAGTGAAGAATACTACAAGAACAAATAAAAACAACAGAAACAACAGCTAAATGTTGGTAGGGCAGGGATGAGGGAGTCTGCGAGTAAACATTTCAACACTGGAACAACGATTAAAACACAGAAAAGTCTGCGAGGACCTAAGCCTGGGGAATCCAAAGTCCCACCTGCTCCTATCACTACACAGTGTTCTTTATTACATGGTGAGGCCTTTGAAAGGAGTCGAGCTCACCATGGTGGAGTTTTCATGCAAGGAATGAGCACCCTCAGAAGTAAGCAGAGAGAGGCTCTTTGCCCTTCCCATTCAGGGGAGGACACAGTGAGAGCAGACCCTCTTGGACCCAGAAAAAAAGTGCTGGCTGGAAGTGGAATCATAAACGTCTGAAGATTGGACTTCTAGTTCTGATATCTGTGAGAAATGGGCGAGCTACTCGCTGTCCGATGTGTTGTACTGGAAGCCCAAAATGACAAAGATGGTGGAACAGGCAAAGGAGGGAGGGAGGGAGAAAAGGAAGGAGGGAGGGAGGGAAGGAGGAAGGAGCATTCAAATGAGTGAACTTTCTAGGACTTTCTCCTCACATGGACCAAATGCTAAGATGGATTTTGAATAAATCAAAACAGAAAAAGTGCAGGAGGAGATATACTGGGACTTCAAATTCAGTGTTTTTGACGACCTGGAAGTCTAGGCCCAGGCCCACCTCAGCAGTCGTTGAAGGTCTTTCTTTGGGCTCTAAGCTCAAGGTCCCCCTCAAGGCAAGGCAAGAACAGCAATTCTTCAGGATACATAGAGCCAAC